ACCTGGCTTTTGTTTAGCCAGCAATGTTATGTAATCCTCTAAGTATTTAGGAGACTTCTTTGCTCTCTGTGACCTTCTCAGCTCTGGGTTACTAGCATGAGTTCCCTGACTGGAGGGAGATGTGAGCCTGTTCTCCTTATTTTGCCTTGGTGCCTTCCAAGGACTGTGCCCCACTGCCTGGCCTGCTTGCTCGCCCACCGGGCTCGTCAGGCCAGGGCTTCTGTCACTTTGTGACCTGGTTGACCTGCCTAGCTATAGACCCTCGGGCCCCTTGAAGTGATAGCCACTGCTGGGCGTCTCTGTTGAACCTCCTAGGTCCATCCAAGACCTGTCAGGAGGCTGTCCATTCCCTGAACCCCGTTCTGTGTCCGGGCTTGTGTGGGTTTCTGTACTTTCCCAAAACTCAGTTACTCCCTGATTTGGGCTAGAGGTGTTGTAGTCGGGACTTGGTTCCTCGACCACCTCCCTGTATGTTTGACCCCCTGTAGGATTTGGGGTAAGGTCAGGCCAACCTTGGGAATTGTGTGCCAGCTCTCTTGCGGGGAATGATTTGTTGGGATGCCCCCGGGTATCCTCCGTGACTGGAGTGCTGTGTGATGTGTGTGGAAAGTGAGTATGCCCCCGGGGTGACTCCCTGGCTGGAGTAGGCGTGGATGCCTGGTAATTAGGTAGGCTCGTAGAATTCTTGTTCGGAGCTCTCGCGGAACCCTGGGATGGGCCGTTTGTAGCTCCATCAGTGGAGATGGGCAGCAGCTCATGCCCTTCCCTTTGCTCCAAAGGGTCCCCCTCCCCCCCTGGAAAAGACCCAGGAGTCTCATCTGAAAAGTCCCGCCGAGGGCGGAGTTGGTCGATGTGCCGACGCAGGACACGACCGTTGTCCAGGGCTACCTCGTAGGAGAGAGGACCTGTGACCCTGGAAATAGAAGCGGGGACCCATGTATGACCAGGCCCGTAATTGCGAGCCCAAACCGGGGCACCCACAAGTAGTTGTCTAGGTGCCCTAGGATGTGAGGTAGATGAAGGCAGTCTGTCCGGATGCAACCGGTCAAGTTTAGTAGTAAGTTGACGCCCCCAACGAAGTTCAGCTGGGCTTCTCCCTGTAGAAGTGGACGGTGTGGTGCGATAAGAAAGGAGAAAGTCAGCCAACCTGTGATGCCAGTCCCCGTAGGTGAGTCTTTTCAATGCGTCCTTTGTGATGCGCACCATACGTTCAGCCATACCGTTGGTGGACGGGTGGAAGGGTGCAGACGTGGCATGACGAATCATGTTTGCCTGTAAGAAAGCTTGGAATTCGGAGGAAGTGAATTGAGGGCCGTTGTCAGACACAATGACATCTGGCAGCCCGTGTGCAGCAAAAATCCCCCTCAGTACCTGAATAGTCTTTGCAGTGGTGGTGGATGAGACAGGTACAACCTCAAGCCATTTCGAATGGCTGTCAACAAGGACCAAGAAGAACTGGCCCTGAAAGGGTCCAGCGTAGTCAATGTGCACCCTAGACCATGGGGACTGTGTTTCCTCCCATCTATGCACGGGAGCTTGGGGCATCTCTGGGCGAGATCGTTGGCACAAGTGGCATGCATGCACCTTAGCCTCAATATCTTTATCTAAACCAGGCCACCACAAGTGGCTGCGCGCAAGGGCCTTCATACGAACAATGCCAGGATGACCCTCGTGGAGGGATTCTAAGACCCTAGTCCTCATTGAGGTGGGAATGACAACTCTGTTTCCCCAAAGCAGACAACCCTGAGAAAGGGACAGCTCGTTCCTTTTGGACCAGAAACTCTGAAACTCAGGACTAGGGCAGTGCTCAGGCCAACCAGACAAAACCCAGGAATGGACACGTGAAAGTGTGTGATCTGTACCTGATTCAGCGGCAACATCCCTGGCACTAAGAGGGAGCTCGGGCAAGGCTTGGATTGATAGAATGTTGACAGCTGGCGCAGGGTCAGCTTCTACTACTGGCAGAGGCAATCTACTGAGGCCATCAGCATGGCCCATTTCTTTTCCAGGCTTGTGGAGTAAGGAAAAATCATATGCAGACAAAAAGATAGACCACCTAAGCATTCTAGGGGAAATGATTTGGGGAGTCTGCTTACGTGTGGTAAACAGTCCCAGCAGAGGCTTATGGTCAGTGAAGACCGTGAAGTGCCTGCCATATAGAAAGTCATGGAATTTTTTAATTCCAGCAACAACAGCCAGAGCCTCCCTGTCTATCTGAGCGTAGTTGCGCTCAGCAGAAGACAATGTTCTGGAGTAATATGCAACAGGAACCTGAGTTCCATCAGACCTGAGGTGGCTCAGGACAGCTCCAACCCCGTAAGGGGACGCATCACAAGCGATGCACACAGGAAGGGACTCGTTGAAATGTGCAAGTACACTGTTAGAAGTGAGCAAAGCCTTGACTTTGTTAAAACAACCCTCATGCGTTTGTGACCACTGCCACACTGCTTGCTTGTCTAGTAGCCTGTGAAGAGGCTCAGCTACACTAGCTTTTTGTGGAAGAAAAGAATTGTAGAAATTCAGGAGGCCCAGGAAGGCCTGAAGTTCGGCCTTGGACTTTGGCCTAGGTGCTTCTAAAATAGCAGTCAGTTTGGATTCAGCAGGGTGAATCCCAGCAGCATCAATTTTGAACCCCAGAAATTCAGTAGAAGGCACCCCAATCATGCATTTGTCTTTTTTGAGCTTGAGGCCTGATTTCCTGAATCTTAACAGAACAGCTCTTAGCCTTTCAGCTAGAATGTGTGTGGAGTCTCCTGCAATTAAGACATCATCAAAGTAGGGGCAAACCCCCGGTATGCCCCGCAGTGTGTTTTCCATTACGCTTTGGAAAATCCCAGGAGCGACATTCACTCCAAACTGCAGCCTTTTTACCTTAAAGGCTCCCCTGTGGGTCACAATAGTCTGAGCTATAGCAGCATCATCATCAACAGGCAGCTGTTGATACGCTTGAGCTAGGTCAAGCTTTGCAAAAACGCACCCCCCCTTGAGGGAGGCCAGAATATGACTGACCACAGGAACAGGATAGGCATGTTGCTGCAATGCCTTATTAAGAGTGCATTTGTAGTCAGCACAAATGCGAATGTCCCCATTTGCCTTTAGAGGCGTGACAATGGGGGTCTCCCAAGGGCTGGAATCAACAGGTTCTAGGATTCCCTGTTGGATCAGTTTGTCTAACTCAGTGTCAATTTTACTCTTTAAAGCAAAAGGGACCCTTCTTGCTTTAATTCTAATGGGAGTGACAGTGGGGTCTAGCTTTAAGGACACAGGGGGTCCTTTGAATGTGCCCAGCTGGGGGCTGAAAACATCTGCAAATTCTTTGCAGACTTCCTGTAGGTCGAGTGTTTGTAAACTGTTGAGTCCTGTGACGTGTATCCCCAGGGCCTCAAACCAATCGAGTCCTATGAGACTCGTTCGTTCACCCCCTACTACTAATAAGTCTAGTGGACCTTCAAAACTCTTGTATTGCACGTTAAGGGTGGCCTCCCCCTTAACACACACTCTTGAATTTTGAAAATCTGTTAACACAATGTCAGAAGGCCTTAACTTGGCCTGAGTTCCACTACCGGAACAAATCTTCCTAAATGTATGCAAGGAGATAATTGAAAAGGCAGACCCTGTGTCTAGTTCCATAGATAATGGAACCCCTTGTAGCTTCACCTTGAGTGACAGCTTTTTCTTAATGGGCTTGTGTGTGCCTGTCCTAAGGATGCTTCTTCGCGAAGCGCAAAACCCTACCCTATTCTGGCTGGGGAATCTGGTATCTTTCAGGCGCAGTTCTTCCTGAGGTTGTACCTTTTGTCGGCCCAGACACACAGCTGCAATGTGTCCTTGTTTGCCGCATGCCCGGCAGGTAGCGGAGCGGAACTTGCAGTCGGTTCTCCTGTGGCGACCTCCATAGCCGATGCACTTGAGCGGAGCTGGAGAGCTTCCCTTCTGTTTTTCTTCCTTCATGGGGTGGAGACGGTCGACTTCCTCGTCCGGATCCTCCTCGGAGTTTCTTTGGACGTCTTCCTGGTGCACGGATGCAACCTCTGGACTGTTTCTGATCGGCCGCATGTTCTTGACAGCGCCGCCTGCTGCTTCTTCTGCGGTGACTTCCCTTAAGGCATCTTGGTAGGACAATTCTTCTTTAGCGAAAAGTCTCTGTTGTAGATCTCGATGCCTTAACCCGCACACGAATCGGTCCCTCAGTCGTTCTTCGAGGTCTTTGAACTCGCAGTGCTTGGCGGCCTTCCGTAATGCGGCGATGAATTCTTTGGCCGACTCACCGGGCCGTTGATCCCTCTGCTCGAAGGTGTGGCGCCATGCGATGACGGACATCTTGGGGTGGAAGTGCTCCTTCAGTAGCTTCTTCAGATCTGCGTAGCTTACAGACTCTACTGGAACAGGTGCTGCAAGGTTTTCTGCGATGTCGAAGGCGTCTTGGCTGCAAACACAAAGCAGGGTGGCAGCCTTCAAGCTCTCTTCCCTCACTTGGTTTGCCTTGAAGTAGTTCTCCACCCTGGCTACGTATGACTCCCACCGCTCTGGATGTGAGACGTCGAATTCCGAAAGCCTTCCGATTTTTGCCATCTTCAGGAGACGGGTCTATCAGCCAGCCTACCCCCGAATGCGCACTGGATTGGTGGGTAGCTGCCGAGTCGACGCCGTTCCGCCGCTCAGGACTCACTTGGGTAAGCTTACACTTCTTCCTTTCCAGGCGGTGTAAGGCGATCCCACCTTCGTCGCCAGTGTTGAGTCCGTGGCGGGAAGCAGACACGAGAAGCAGTTGAAGTTCTCAGTTTTCTTTATTCTGCGTTCAGCTTACAAGTAGATGGCTTCTGCAGCTCCCAAAACCTCCCAACTTCTTATATAGACATTTCCCGGGTAAATGCGATACTTTTCCCGCGCCAGCACCCGCGCATGCGCACGGCGCTGGCGACAGCCTGTCTGGTCCCGGGCAGCTTTGCACCTGCCCAGGACTGCCTGCAAACGCCTGAGCCGTTTGCAAGGCTCGGGACATAACAGCAAGAAAGACTGTAAAATGGGGCAAATTTTACTTAACTGTCTCAGCAACATAAATGTTGGGCTCAGTTGTGGTCATAAGCTGAGAACTATCTGTATTTTTCACTTTCCATAGCCACTTTGTAGTTCATCACTGGGTGATGAAACCAAAGCCAGGCAAAGACATGCAGTAAATAGAGCTTCAGAGATGGATATGCCTTTACTTCTATGACTGGGAACAACTTTGCAAAGTGCAGCTAAGAGGAAATTCTCCCCAACTATTCCATGCTATGATAAAACCAACTTTAGCTTTGATGATCACAGATCAGGTCTTTTGGGGTTCTGATTCATAATGTTTTTCTGTGGTTATATAAAAGTCTTCAAGGGTAGACTGGAGGTATTCAAATGTTGGTCGTTCTTCTGGGTTGTCCTTCCAACATTTTAACATAATTGCATAGAGATTAGACGGACATAATTCTGGACAAGGTATCCGGTAGCCCTGTTCTAGATGTCTGATAACGTCATGATTCATCATAGCTATTGGGAAAAAAAGGAAAGATCAAACTATACACAAACCATATAATGCACAGATAGTTCTTAATTTACGATGGGACCAAAATTATATATTCTGAAATTCTGAACCAACTCAACTATTTCGAGTTCCTGGTAGCTTTATATCTTGCACAATGTATTTTCCAAAACTATTTAAAAGTAAGATTTTCTAAGCAGGAAGCATTACCATTTAAATGTGTTTGTGGTGATTATTACAGTTATTTATTAAGTTCTCCTATTCTTGTTTACCATTCAACTTTGCAAATGCATACAAATCCCACCTGTTTCATCAAAAAAAGCTGATGAGCCCCTTAAAAATAAAGACTAAGAACCTCATGAAATCAAATTCAAACACATTTGAATCTGAATTAGTAAATGAGCCATTTGAAGTGCATCTGAAGGCAATTGAAATATATATTTGAAGCCAGTGGCTAAGGCATCAAGCTAGAAAGCTGGAGACTATGAATTCTAGTCCCATCTTAGCCATGAAAGCCAGCTGGAGATCTTGGGTTAGTTACTCTCTCTCAGTCTAACTCACCTTACAGGATTGTTGTTATGGGGAAAATAGGAGGAGGAAGGTATATTGGTTATTTATTTATTTATTTAAATTTATTTGCCTCCATCTCGTATCAAAACAACTCTGGACAGATAAGTTTGCCCTGAGTCATCTATAAAAATAATAAAGGCGGGATACAAATAAATAAATAAAATAAATAAATATACAATGATGAAAAGCTGTCTAGTACTGGGCTGAACAATTAGCCTAACAATATCCCTTCTGAGCTTTTAGCCATAGCGGAGGAATCAGAGAGAAGCATTGGCTCAAAGCAGTGAAGGGTTTTTGATTGCAGCCTGCCTTACCTGGATAGGGAGTCTGCCCATACGTAATAATTTCAGTGAGAAGAATTCCAAAGGACCAGACATCAGATTTGATTGTGAAAAGTCCGTAGTTAATTGCTTCTGGTGCTGTCCATTTGATAGGAAATTTGGCACCTGCCATTAAAGAAGTCATTTAACATGAAAACCTCCCAGCATAATTTGGTTCTGAATATCTATTTTGAATTTCTTTCTTAAACTAGACAAGATATTCCAAAGTGTAGGAGTATGAACAAGAACATAAAGATGCCAGACCAGGAACTTTTGACCAGCTCACTGATACTGATTACTATTTGGGGATGTGAAGAAGTTCAGCACTGAAAGTGATCCTAAGTGGTTTATTTATTTATTTATTTGGCCAACTTAGTGCAGCCAATATATCAGAGCCAGTTCAGTGTATTGGTTAAGGAATCATGCTAGAAACCAGGAGAGCATGAATTCTAGTCCTGCCTTAGACACAAAGCCATCACTCTCTTTCAGAAGGACACAATGGTAAATCACTATATCAGATAAAATTCAGGAGTCAAGGTTGTGTTTTGAGCTTACCGTGCACTAGATTTTGCATATCTCAATTCTACCCAACATTACTTCTCAAGTAATATTTTAGGCCTGCAGGAAGGGAAGTGGGTACACTGTGTCAGATAAAGGAGGATATGTTCTCTTTTCAAAGCTCAACTATTTAAAATCCTATGCATAGGAGAACAGTTGGGTTAAGCAACATCTGATTTATGTGTTATTTCATACAGGATATTTGAATATTGCCTCTCATGTACTAGACATCTAAGCAGAATATAATAATGAAAGACCAGGCTAGGCTAGGTTAGGCTATAAAGGTGGAGGGATGGATAAATAGAACAGTTTGTCTTTCTGCCTCGATATCCATGCTGTTTCGATATTTTTGACTATAACAAACACTCAGACTATTTCAAAGCATTCACAGAGCTTCCAGTAATCTTTTGTCATAACAATTTGATAATTTTCCTCTCCTACAATCTTTCTGCCATTAACAAAGTTACTAAAAGTAATACACCTGAATACCTATTAATAGGACAAAAATGGGAAATTCTCTTAGGAGGCAAACTTTATATGGGATATCTACTTTCTAAGCTATATATTAATTTATAGGTAACAGCTGGCATTTTGACTTATACTCAGAAATAAATTAATAGCCAGTGCAGCTCCTAAAGTAACAACATTATGTGACATCACCATGATTGTCCAGTAAGTACACTGACAGCTCCATTTTGTACCAGCTGACTCTATGATTGAAACCAGACAGCATTCTTTTGTAGTCAGGTAATAAACCTTGTGCACAAAAAAGCAAATCTTTTACCTCCAGACTTTTCTTGTTCAGTGGAATATGACCCACAATTCTATCTCTTTTACCACAAAGATTCACTAACCTGCCTGTGCAAGGTATTCATTCTCTATGAGTCTAGCCAGGCCAAAATCAGCAACTTTGCAACAAAGGGACTCTGAGACCAGAATGTTGGCTGCTCTGAGGTCTCTGTGGATGAAGTTCATTCTCTCAATGTATGCCATCCCTTCAGCAATCTAGGAGAAATAGTCAACAGTGAACATGTCTGGTGGTGAAATAATCCAAAGGTTATCTTGCTCAATGGGAGAGGAGAGTTTCTGGGTTTGGTGAGGGATAAAGAGAGCCACATATTTCTATTTCTCTCAGTTTTTTTTAATTGCAAGTTGGTTCCATCATATTTCTGCATCAGCTTGCACATTTACAGTTTTGCAAGTCCTTTTCCTCTTTTTCATTACATTCACTAATGTGATTTTTTGAGTGCCATTGTCCTTAACAGATCCATTTGGGAAAAACACTTTAAAAAATGGAAAATTGAGTAATACTGTAGTGAATTCCAAAACAGAAAAGTGTTTTGGCTTTTGCTTGCGGCTTCTGGAAATGAAAATCCTAGTCATTTTTTGCTCTTGCTAAGCCAGGCACGTTATTGAAAATGACTTTCCTACTGTATTAGCAATTAAGATGCAATCCTAGATCTTCTGCCAGCAAACAAAGCTCTATAGCCCTGATGTTCTGCTCAACCCCACAGCTTTTTATTTTCTTCTAACTAAAAGGACACTACATTTTAAAAAATTCCATATAGATTTGTTGGGTTTTTTTCACACGGTTTCAAAAAGGATATGAAAATGTATTTTCCACAACTATGTCATATGCCTAAACTGATTTGCTTTTTGTTCAAATGCTGCTCACCTCAGTGGAAAAAGGAGCACCCAGAAGAGTGTTATTTCCTGTCCTGATGTCAATGTGATAAATATTGGTCTTGATTTCCTCTCAGTGTACTAGTGAGGCTGACCACAGTACCAAATGCACACTGATAGCCTTCTAATTTTAACTTTTGTGTAGAAATAAGGGGTCATCGCTTGGTGTGCCTGGGGCCTATTTACACAAACAACACTATTGCAATGACATTTGCTACTAGACTCTACTTCTGGTAGTCATCTATTGCTGGTATTGGCTGTGTTCATGATGCAGGTACTTTGTGAAACAATTTGAAGTAAATTGGCATTTCAATCAATATGTGTTTTATAGTTCATGGAAATAACTCAAAAAAGTATTTTGTGGGCTTCTACTGCATTCAGTCTTTACCACAACATTGTCAGGCATGTCAGGCTTTGAAACTGATCTCTCCATGACCATTTGGTGAATGTCATGATAGGGTAAAGAGACTCACCTTATTGAGGAGATGGGTGGCATGTAAATTTAATACATAAAATTGAGCCTGAATCTTCAAATATGATACAATAACCAGGAAACCTCTTTTGGGGGGCTCACAGTCATGTTCCCTCAGAGATTATCTGCTGGAATTTACATCTCAGTGGTGATCGGGAAACAAACCTCTCTGTGTCTCTTCTTATTATTTCTGTTGTTTCTTTTCTTTTTCTTTTGTCTCTCACAGATACCCCTTCAATACATTTTTTTTCTTTGTCTTCCTCCACTACTCCTTCACATTCTTTCATTTTGACTCTCTTTGGCAACTCTTTCCATTTTTTTTTCTCTACCACCTAATTTATATGTCAATCACTTCTATTTTGGGTTACTCCCCATTTGCATCTAATCATACCAGAAACATCTCATGGCACCATCTTTGCTTTTTCATGTCCTCAAGATGTTGCAATCAACTTGTCTTCAGCTCTTCCATGAGACACCCTTAAGTTCTTCCTAATTGTATCAGTATTTTCTCCTTAAGCCAAAAGCAACTTGGGGTGGTTTCAATTTATTTCAAATCTGACATGCTTTGTTGCCCATCATGTTGACAATACAGGGGATCGATCTAGTATCTATTATCATTTCAGACCTGTGCTCACATGCTTCCTTCCCTTAAGTTCCTAAGCACTTTCCACTTCTGTCCCTTCCCCTTCCCTTCTTTCCTCTCTGTCTCCAGCCTTTATGCTTATCTGTGCTACCTTTCCCCCTCTCTTCTCTCTTTTGAAAAAAGCTAGATAGACAATGATTGGGGATTCTGATACTATATAATTTCTAGGTTGAGAAGATAATGAGACTTTGTACCACTAGGGCATTAAATAATTTACCTGAGCAGAGAAATCTATCAGTTTTGAAAGAGACAGCTTCTTCCCTTGATTGGTGTCCAAGAAATCAAGCAAGCTTCCTGTCCAAAAATAAAAACAGCAATAAAAATATAAGGACATTTTTGGTTGAAATAAATATTCATAAAGGTGGATGTGAGAATACTTTATTAGTTAAGTCAGTTTTCAGTTGGTATTTGGGTTCAGCTTTAGGCTTTGAATCTTGCCAAGGGGCGAGAATTATACCACTTAATTAGTGATTTTTTAAAAAATCAGATTTGAAATGATTTTGTAATGGTTGCATTACTATATTACTAGATTGGGAATTGACCTCTTAGAATACTTTTCAATTTGCTGATTCTTCAATAAAATTTTGTTTATATTTATGAATAGATTTACTATCAGTGTGGCCTGCCTATGGCACAGCCTTGGGTTTGGTAATCATATTGTCAACATTACTCAGTCCCTTCTTTGGGAAATGGCTAGAGAAGGGGAAAAAAGAGGGAAAAAAGTTGAAGGAGAAAGACTAGATGCTTCCCCTAAAATAGGTCGCTGTTAACAACAGAGTTCCTGCACTCAAAATGCTAACAAAGGTAAGGATGGAAAAATTACAGGCTTTGTGTTGTCTTTGGGCAATTTACTTTGATAGTTGCTTGTACTGTGAACCTTTCCCTATGAACAGGGAAAATAGACTACTCCAAATATTTGAGGCTCATTAAGCAAACCACAATGCTTGGGGAAAAAAAACCCCTACAATCAGGTTTGGCCTGCTTAGTTCAGATCTATAGCACCGATAGAGATCCATTAGAATGATTAACAAGACATCCTTACCATTGGCCATGTATTCTGTTACAATATAAATTGGCTGCTGGGTCACCACAGCATACAATCGAACCAACTTATTATGCTGAAGTCTTTTCATCAAGTTGGCCTCAGCCAAAAAGGCATCGGGGGCCATGCTGCCTTCTTTTAACATCTTGACTGCAACCTTCACATTGTTCTTGTAGTAACCTGCAAAGGGGGAGGGGGGATTAATGACTATTATATAAAACAGGTTTGTGGGCAAATGGTGGCTTTCAAACCTAAAATCAGCAGCCCCCAGAACACTCCAAATCTGCCCCACCACCTTTTGGGAGCAAACCACCGAATAAGAGTGTCAAAGTTTCCATAAAGTTTTCATAGGAAACAAAATAAAAACTGGGGAAAGGGAAGGGCTTTTTAAACCATGGGAAGATTTGAAAGTGGACAGGGAATCATAAATTCCCCCAAACAGGAGGAATTGTTGGGCATATTTTCCTCATTAAAAATCTTTCTTTTGAATTGTATGGCAAGATTTTGGAACTGAGGGTGTGATCATTTATTAGAACAGACTGCTTATTACTTTAGCATAGCTATATCTATTATGACTGGCTGTGGCTGATCAGAATTTTTCCCACCAACTGCTATCTGATTCTTTTTTCTTTAACTAAAAATACCACAGATTGAAACTAGACCCTTATTTTATTTGCTTGTTAGATTTATATTAAGAAATTCAGGATGATTTCTTTAAGAAACACAAGGCTGGCTCAGAACCATTGTATGAAATGAAGCAACATAAAAACAATGCAATAAACAAAGCAATTCAAGCAAAAATAGAACTAATCATCTTTGATACAACTATACCACTGTCTTCAAGCTTCAGTCTCAACTTATCTCAGTGTTGGGGGAAGATCCAATACTTTGGGGCCTTTTGGAAGGTTAAGAGGATGAGGCCTGCTGGATTTCAAGGGGAAGGTTTTATTAGGGCAGGGGCTGCTGTGGAAAAAGCATGCTTCCAAGTTCCCACTTGATGGCAACATTTTTTTTTTTTTTTTTTATTGAAATTTTTCAAAAGTTTTACAAATAAAAATCCACCCCCCCCTCCCCAACCACCCCACCCCCCCCCGACTTCCCAGAACTGAATATAGGATTATTTAACAAATATTTTAAAAATAACATTTGCAATTTATAAAATAATTAATAATAATAATAAAAATCACAGTAATAATATATATAATAATAATATACATAACATAAACTTTAAAATGAATAATATATACTAAAAAAGAAAAAAAAAAATAAAAAAGAAGAGAGAGAGAGAAAGAAGAAAGAAGAAAGTAGACGAAGAATAAAGCATATATATATATAAAAAAAAAAAATATATGAATAATAATACATAAAAAATGTATATATATAAAAAAAGAAAAAGAAGAAAGAAAGAAAGAAAAAACAATCATTACAAATTATAAAAAGGCTAAATAATATTTTTCCATATCCAAATTATGTTGTATAAAATTTATCCATTTTTCCCATACCGCAAAAAATTTTTCTTGAGATTGCTCCTTTAAGAAAGCCGAAATCTTTGCCATTTCTGCCAAATACGAAACTTTATGAAACCATTCTTGTAAAGTAGGCAAAGATTCCTTCTTCCAATATTGTCCTATTAACAACCTAGCGGCTGTAATCAAATTTAACATCAATATAACCTCCTTAGCATCACAGTCAATAACAATACCTAGTAAAAATAATTGCGGAGTAAATTTTACCCTCCTTTTAAAAATTCTTTGAATATTCCACCATATCTTAATCCAAAAAGCTTTTATATGCTTACACGTCCACCAAATATGGTAATAGGTAGCATCCAAATATCCACATCTCCAGCATTTCGGCTGTAGATTAGGGTACATAATGGACATTTTCTTTGGGTCAAGGTGCCATCTATAAAACATCTTATAAAAATTCTCTCTTAAATTTTGCGCTTGTGTGAATTTAACATTTCTTATCCAAATAAGTTCCCAAGTATCCATTGAAATCGTTTCACCAATATTCTGTGCCCATTTAATCATACAATCTTTAACTAGTTCAAGTTCTGAATCTAATTCCACTAAAACCCCATAAACTCTCTTAATATGGGTTGGCCTTTGATCTCTTACTTGTTTTAAAAAAATTTCATCTTCTCTAAGCCAGCCCATTTTACAATCCATCTTCCATCTATCCACTATTTGTCTATATTGGAACCATGAATAAGTTAAGTTTTCATGTGTTAACTCTTCCAAAGATTTTAACTGCCAGTCTTGGCCATCCCATCTTAATAACTGTACGTAAGAGACCTTGTCCATATTTACCCCTTTCCTTATACCTTCTATGGCATGCCGAGGTATAGCCCATAATGGTATTTTGAAGTCACTTTTATAATACTTTCTCCACACTCTTAGCAAAGAGTTTCTTATAATATGAGACTTAAAAACCCAATCCACTTTTTTATTAAATATTAAATAGGCATGCCATCCAAAAAATAGGTCCCAGCCTTCCAAATGAAGTATTTCTGTATTTGTTAAATTCACCCAGTCGCTAATCAATGTCAATACTACAGCATCATAATACAATTTCATATTTGGTACCTTGAGTCCACCTCTCTCACGAAAATCTTGCATTATTTTAAGTTTCACCCTTGGTTTTTTCCCTGCCCAAACAAATTTATTAATACCTTTTTGCCATTCATCTAAATTACGTTCGTTCTTTAAGATAGGTAACATTTGAAACAAAAAAATAAACTTTGGCAGGACATTCATTTTAATAACTGCAATTCTGCCCATAAGGGATAACTGTAAATTATTCCAGTTTTTTAAATCCTTCTGTACCTCCATCCACAGCTTTTCATAATTATTTTTATACAATTTTACATTAGAAGCAGATAATGTAACCCCCAAATATTTTACCTTATCAACAATTTCAAAGTCTGTTAAGTTAACTAGAGCCTGTTTATCACCATTAGTCATGTTTTTAGCTAATATTTTGGTCTTATTATTATTAATTTTAAAGCCAGAAACACGTCCATATTGTTGAATCAATTGTAATAATTTCACCACCGAAGAAACAGGTTGAGACAAAGTAACAACCAAGTCATCTGCAAAGGCTCTTAATTTATATTCTTTTTTATTAATTTCTATTCCTTTTATTTCTTGAGACTCCCGAATTTTAATCAACAAAATTTCCAGTGTTAAAACAAACAATAACGGAGACAACGGGCATCCCTGTCTTGTTCCTTTTTCTATTACAAAAGCCTCTGACAAACCCCCATTTACAATAATTTGAGCAGTCTGTTTTTGATATATATTGGATAATACTTGTAATATATTTTGTCCAAAATTCATCTCCTTGATTAAACACAGCATAAACTGCCAATTCACTTGATCAAAGGCTTTTTCAGCATCCAAAAATATCAGGCCTGCAGAGACTTGGTTATTCTTTTCTAAATACTCTAATAAATTAATAATTTGTCTAACGTTATTCTTCATATACCTTCCAGTTATAAAACCCGATTGATCCCTATGTATAAACTGCTGCAAGATCCCCATAAGCCTGTTAGCTAAAATTTTTGCAAAAATTTTGTAATCCACATTTAAAAGAGATATAGGCCTATAATTTTTAGGCAAAGTAAAATCTTGACTATCTTTTGGAATCAATGATATAAATGCATTACGCCAGGATGGAGGGATCTCTAACCCCTGTAATAAATTATTAAACAGTTCACACAACGGTTGAGTCATCTCTTCTACTAAAGCTTTATAATAAATAGATGTCAACCCATCCGTACCCGGCGCTTTGCCCAATTTCAATTGTTTAATAGCTGTAACAATTTCTTCCTTAGTAATTAAACCATTAATCTTTTTTTCCTGATCTTCTGTTAATTTAGGAAAGTTAACTTTGCCTAAATAATTATTTATATCTGTAATTTGAATATTAGTACCCTTATATAATTTTTGATAGTATTCTAAAAAAGATTTCTTAATCAATTCTTTCTGATAAACCAATTTACCATTATAATTTATTTTATCTATATTCCTCTGTTTCTGTTTTTTTCTTAACTGATAAGCCAACCATCTCCCTGGTTTATTAGCATTACAAAATGTATTTTGTTTCATAAATAGCAAATTAGTTGCAGCTTGATCAGCCATCAGCATGTTAAATTGTGTTTTTAACAATTTTAAAGCTCCTTTAACCTTTTCATCTAAGGGATTTGAAATTAAAAGTTTCTCTTTTAATTTAATCTCCTCTTCCAAGTCTTTCCGTTTCTGAGTCTGTTTCTGTCTATGCAAATTATTCATTTTTATCAAAATACCACGCATAAAAGCTTTACTTGCATCCCAGACCATTGACATTGATGTTCCCTTGTTCATATTTAAAGTAAAATATTCCTTTAAACATTCCTTTAATTTATGAACATTTTTTTCTTGTTTAAATAAATTCTCATTCACCCTCCAGGATCTCCTATCTTCCTTCTCTACAAACAGTTCCATCCAAACTGGACTATGATCGGACAATGTCCTAGGAAAAATTTTTACATTCTTCACCCTGTTGTATAAATCTGTTGTGATCAAAAAGAAATCAATTCTTGAGAAAGATTGGTGTCTATCTGAGAAAAACGTAAAATCCTTTTCTTCTTGATTACGTTCACGCCAATAGTCTCTCAATTCCCAATCTTCTTTCATATCAAAAAAGGCTTTAGGTAATTTAGCCTGTTTAAAAAAGGTAGAAGAGCCTTTTTTGTCCATTTGTATATCTAAGACACCATTCCAGTCTCCCATTAAAATCACAGATCTATAGTCCAACAAAGTTATTTTCTGATGTAGTAACCTATAAAATTGCTCCTGTTGCTGGTTTGGTGCATACAACCCCACAATAAGAATTTTCTTGCCATATAAACCAAGTTCAAGCATAACATATCTTCCGTAAGGATCTGATTCTAACAAGGTAGCGGATAGATTCTGTTTAACATAGATTACCACACCCCCTTTCTTCCCAGGGGCGGGAGATACAAAATGAGATCTTGATGGCAACATTTAAAGGAAGGGACCTGGAGCATGCCTATTTTCCCATTTGGTAGAATGGGTAAGCATCATCAGGAAGAGAAAGTCCCACTGATAACATGCGATATACTTTATCCTCTACTCTACTTGTTCTCATAACTGCAACCATATGAGATAGGTTGACCTAAAGTTGCCCATTTAGCTTCCACAGCTTAGAATGGATTTGAACTTGGATTCCCTGATGCCATTCCAATATTTTAACTCTCCATCTCATCAATTCTGCCTTCATTTCTACTACAATTGATGATGATTCCTCCCTATTTTCAAGGACACAGCCAATGCTAAGCACTTTTTCCCACTGAGGAGCTGAAGAATTCTCCATCCCTCTTTCAGCTCCTGACTACTATACCACTGCAAAATTAACCATCCCCCATGTCAGTCCCTGTTCTACTCCGTTGCCTCTCATTCAAGTAACCTTAATTATCTGGCTTTCTTCAAGGAAGGATATGAATGACAAATCCTAGCATATGATATGTATCTTGGTGGTCCTTGAATACTGTTGGAAGAAAATGTCTAAAACACTTCAACACTAGAACAGCTAAAATGATTTGAGGCTATCCTATATATGGGTTGGGGAAGAGGACAGAACATCATGGGGACACAGTAGGAAAAAAAAAGGTTTCCCAAGGCTTATTTGTTCCATAGGTAATTGCTAGAGGTGTCCACCAATGTGGTGGTAGTAAAAATTGTAAAAATGGTATCTGTGATTATACAATCAAAGCCCTGCCCTTTTTTAAAAGAACACATATAGAAAAGGGGTTTGGTTTCAATTATACAGATGCTTCTGCCAGTTTGTTTTTAACTCCCTTCCCTCCTGCATGGCTGTCTTTGTTATTTACAGTGGGGAGAAGTTCTAAAAATACTCAGATTTAAAAGAAAGTACACATCCAAAACAGGCCTTAAATAAGATTTTCAGGGAGTAACATTAGAAGAGAATTATCTATCTTCTCTGTAAGCTTCCTGAGTGTGTAGGTGTGGCTTGTGTAATGTAGAAAGTAGATCAGAAGGGGTCTTGATTGATCTGATACCATTATTTTAATGTTCTTAAATGGATTGCAATTAAATATCACAATTTTGCCATTTTTGTAAGCACTTTATAAAGTTGAAACCAAATGGAAGCCTAATATCTTCACACAGGCCATTACTTCCTCTTCGCATGTCATACCCTTCAACTGAAAAGCAAGAGCTCATATATGGAATGGACAGTATCAAACTTTTTTCTTTCTCTTTTAATTAGAGTAGAAGTAAAAGGATAGGAATAAAATACCAATGAGTAAATAAGGGATTTCATAAAACCATGGATGTTATAGTATCAGTCTTAACTTACCCATCCACACCTCACCAAACTGGCCTGCTCCTAGTTTCTTGATGAGTTTTATGGCGTCTCGTGGGATTTCCCATTCATCAGCAGCCCAGGGTATTTGTGGAGTCAGAGTCTTGCATGGATATCTTAGCCTCTGGCACAAACCGTTCTCATTAGCTGTGCAGGATGGTACAAAGAGGAAGTACGACAAACCAAAGATAAATTTTCAGAGAATGAGGTAACGAAAATCATTTGGACAGTTTCCTGTTGTTTTGAGGTTGGAAAAGCCACCTCTCTCCCCAAATTAAGGAAGAAGAGAACTTCCAGATATCTTTCCTGAAGGTAAGGAAAGAATCAAGATAAGCAGAGATTTTCACATTTTGCTGCATCACCTTGCCCACTAAAGCTTTTGATCCTTTCATAATGTTAACAGTAGAACCCTGATACCAAAACTTTATGCAATGGGGTAAATGTGTGAAATGCATGGAATCATCATCATCATCATCATCATCATAGATCACTTGCTTCAGGGAACAGTAATTATTCAAATCATCTGCTCTGTGGTGATCTTACTCATGCAGGTAGGATTTGTATGTGAAAAATACTAATGCAAACGGACAGTTTCTCAGTCTTGCCCTTATTGCAGCTTTGCAACTAACAAACAATATATTTGCGACAGCACTGATGGGTTTCCATTTCCTCTACCTCTGAGAGAAGTGGAAGGGGAATAGTCAAATAAGTTTTGGGAATACAGGACAAAAAATAATGTGGTATCTGAAAAAAACAAATCTAATGCAGAATTCAATACAAGATGAAAACTCTTCTTGGGCTATAATTCTACACATGGGCTTTTACTGCATATAAAGTGTGGGTTTCTCTTAAAATAAGAAGTTAACATTTAAGTCTTGGTTTGATTTGCTAAACAAGGATAGGTTCCTTAGATAAGTCAGAAATCAGTGCAATTTCCTCTTCTTAGTTATAGTTCATATTATATTGATGACTTAATTAGATAGATCTAAACTACAGTCAGCTTTTTATTTATTTTATTTTATTTAATGTGCTATTTATCTTTTTCTGTTTTATTTTTCTTGATTGTACTTTTAAATATTTAATAAAAATCAATTTAGGAATAGAAGTTAATAAAAAAGAGTATAAGTTAAGAGCTTTTGCGGATGACTTGGTTATCACTTTGTCGCAACCTACTTATTCTGTAGTAAAATTATTACAGCTGATTCATAATTATGGTTTGGTTTCGGGTTTTAAGATTAATGTTAATAAGACAAAAATTTTACCTAAAAATATGACTAGTCGGGAGAAGCAGACTTTGGTTAACTTGACGGGTTTTGAAATTGTTAATAAGGTAAAATATTTGGGGGTGATGCTATCTGTTTCTAATGCAAAATTATTTAAAAATAATTATGAAAGGTTGTGGGTTAGGGTACAGAGAGACTTGAAGAATTGGGAAAAGTTGCAATTATCCCTCATGGGAAGAATTGCAGTGATAAAAATGAATATTCTACCCAAGTTTCTCTTTTTGTTCCAAATGATACCGATTTTGAAGAATGAGATCAATTTAACTGAGTGGCAGAAAGGCCTTAATAAATTTATTTGGGCAGGGAAAAAGCCAAGGGTTAAGTTTAAAATTATGCAAGATTTCCGTGAGAGGGGAGGACTCAAGGTGCCGAATTTGAAATTATATTATGATGCGGTGGTTTTAACATTAGTTAGTGACTGGGTAAATTTGACAAATTCTGATATACTTCACTTAGAGGGATGGAATTTACTTTTTGGGTGGCATGCCTATTTAATATTTAATAAAAAAATGGATTGGGCTTTTAAATCTCATATCTTAAGAATTTCTTTACTTAGGGTTTGGAGAAAATATTATAAAAGTGATTTCAAAGTACCATTATGGGCTATACCTTGGCATGCAATAGAAGGAATAAAAAGAGGGGTTAAAATGGATATGGTGTCCTATAGACAGTTACTTAAATGGGATGGACAAAACTGGCAGTTAAAATTACGGGAAGAGTTAGCACAAGAAAATATTATTTATTCTTGGTTCCAATATAGGCAATTATTAGATAGATGGAAGATGGACTGTAAGGTGGGTTTTCACAGAGAAGATGAAAATCTTATTAAGCAAGTGAAGGATCAAAGACAAACCCACATTAAGAGGATCTATGGGGTTTTAGTTGAATTGGATTCAGAAACGGAACTAATTAAAGATTGTATGATTAGATGGGCGCAGAATTTTGGTGAGCCAGTTCCATTGGACACCTGGGAAATTATTTGGGTGAGAAATGTCAAATTTACACAAGCACAGAACTTAAGGGAGAATTTTTATAAAATGTTTTATAGATGGCACCTTGATCCACAAAAAATGTCTTTTATGTACCCTGACTTACAACCTAAATGTTGGAGATGTGGTTGTATGGATGCTACTTATTATCATATTTGGTGGTCGTGCAGAGAGATAAAAGCATTCTGGATTAAGATATGGTGGAATATCCAGAGAATTTTTAAAAGGAGGGTAAAATTTACTCCACAATTATTTTTGTTAGGTATAGTTATTGATTGTGATACAAAGGAGGTTATATTGATGTTAAACTTGATAACAGCTGCGAGGCTGTTAGTAGGACAATATTGGAAGAAGGAATCTTTGCCTACATTGCAGGAATGGTTTCTTAAAGTGTCTCATTTGGCGGAAATGGCAAAGATTTCGGCTTTCTTAAAGGGACAAACGCAAGAGAAATTTCTTGCTGTTTGGGATAAATGGATAAAATTCATACAATTTAAATTTGATATAAAAAATATTATATAGTTTTTTCATAATTTTTAACTTTATATATATATATATATTTTCTATTTTATATTCTTTTTTTAAATTTTTTAAACTTTTTCTTTAATTAAGCCTATATTCTGCTCTGGGAGGTCCTGGGGGGGGAAGGGGGGGTTTGGGTAGGGGTGGGGGAAGGGGGGTTTTGTTGGGTAATGTTTGTTTTTTATTTGTATATGTTTTTTGTTTTTGTATTGTTTCTTATTTTTTGTAAAATTTATAAAACTCTTTAATAAAAAAAAATCAATTTAAAAAATAATAACATCCATATGCTTACATTGGCCATCTCAACTCTTGGATCCTCATTGATTTTGGACAAACTGAACTGGCTTGTGTTGCAAACTATTCTGCTTTCGTCATATGTTACAAAGAACCCACAGAACTTAAACTAAATTGTTCTGCTTCTATGGAACAGTCTCCGCTTTATGTCTTATTAAGTATGAACCTGACAGCTTTCAGAAGTATTCTTACTGCAGTAATGCTTGACAAGCTTTTGCATAGAAGAAAATGTAATCCAGGGGCAGATGTAGTATCCACCTTGGTCCATAGTGGAGATTTTATAATGCTTAACAATATCCTCTTGAGAGATGATATCTCTAACAGAAAGTGAAAATGCACCTGGAACAAGAAAAAAGGGGATTATTTATTAGTGCTTAAATTGTGCCATCAGAAGGAACAGTCTATCATAGAGGGGGCTATTCCAACTTATACTTCCAGGGCAGCAAATCTCAGAATTCCCAGTAGCTGCAGCATTCTGGGAAGTGAAGTGTCACCTTGTCTGAAAGGTGCCAGACTGGAGAAAAGTACTTTTGAATTTTTAGCAACATCAGAATACAGGGTCTGATTTCATGTGACTAGGGAAAAGCACTGAACAATGAAAAGAAGACCAGATAACCCTAACCCATCCAAATATGCATATCTATCATTTGTGTCATCTAATGTGAATATTCAATTAATCACTGCTGATCTGGAATGGAAAGAGGCACAGATTCCCTCTATTCCTGACCATTTCCATTTCGGCTCTCTTTGCAAAGCAAAATATTCTATGGTCAATCAATCATTATATCAATCAATCAATCAATCAGAATAGAGCTGAAAGGGATCTTGGAGGTGTTCTAGTCCAACCCCCTGCTCAAGCAGAAAACCCTATACCATTTCAGACAAGTGACTGCCCAGTCTCTTCTTAAAAATCTCCAGTAATGAAGCACCCACAACTTCTGAAGGCAAGCTGTTCCACTGATTAATGGTCCTTATGGTTAGGAAGTTTCTTCTTAATTACAGATTGCTTCTCTTCTTGATTAGTTTTCATCCATTTTTTTTTTTTGCCTAGCCCTCTAGTGCTTTGGAAAATAAGTTGACTCCCTTCTCTTTGTGGCAATCTCTCAAATACTGGAATGCTGCTATCACATCTCCCCCAGTCCTTCTTTTCTCTAGACTAGCCAAAACCAAGTGAGGTTTTTCCCCCCCTTGAAGTTGTAGGCCAAAAGCAGCCAGATTTGAAGTAAACAGCTCACAAAAGCTTATGCCACTTAATAAAAATTATAACTTGAAAAACAATTTTGAATGTGCATTTCCCCTCCCTGCACTTATCTTAAAGAAAACTAGGTACAATCTCAAATTCCATTTCCTGCTTTGGGCTGAGATTTCTTTTATCTGACTGTTGCCAGGGCTGTGACTCTTCCTCTTCTTCTTCAAGATTATTCTCACAGCTCATTTTATAATTTCTACAGTACCCACATCAAGAGTTTTAGGCAAGATCTCCCTCTCTCCTCCTACCATCTTGTCAATACTGCCTGGAAGAAGGGAGGAGAACTATTATAGCAAGAATGCCCATTGTTCCTAACTCTCATAGGTGGTCCTGAATGATACTATAATGGAAGGCATCACAATCACTAAGCAATCAGAGAAAGCTAAGGCAGTTGCATCATTCTTGAGCTGGTTCCCCAGAAGTTACCAACAAAGATGATCAACACAGTTTCGGTATTATTTTCCTGTCTAAAAAGGATTTAAATAATTTTCCTCCAGAGCTATCTGGATCCATAGCCAAACTATCTTCTCAACAACCTTCCCTAGAAAGAAAAGATTGGAGATTGGATGAAAATTATTTCAAACTTGGGTCCAATGACAACATCTTGAGGAGGGATGTACTATCACCTTCAAAAAAAGTGGGACCACTGACTCTGTCATATTACTGTATATACCCAATCAAATATCACCTCCTGGATGGCTTTCACCAGTCAATAGAAGCAAAATTGAATAAACAGTTGCTTGGTGTTTTGTGTCCAAATCTTTAAGAATGACAGGTTCAAACTCACCCCAGCTAATCATACAAGGCCTTAGTTCAGTTACCTCAACAGCACTTGACCAGTTCCAGTCTCTAAATCTAGGTGAATCAGAGTGATTTACTCTCAGATAGCTAGAATATTTCTCATAAAAGCTCTGAAAATGATCTTGCCACCTGCCCTTCCCCAGTCATCTTTAAATAATCTCTAGACTGCTATCTGTGGGCAAGATCCAAATGAAAAAAAAACCCATCTTTTTGTGGTTTTTATTACCATGATATAATCCCTAATCTGGGCAACTCATGTAAATTTTACCTTTATATACAAAACAATTTTACAACTTCTTACCTGGAACACTTTCACTTTCCCTTATCAAAAATGAACCTACACTGTTGCCAGGCATCATTAATAAACGTTCAGCATCTTTTCTGTTAAGGCCTTTAAAAAACCACCTGAAAAAGAATGCAAATTTTTATAGAATGATTCCAACTAGAGCAGTTTTTTTTTTCCAGGCTTGACAACTTCAAGCTTGGCTGGAGAATTTTGGGAGTTGACATTCACACATCTCAAAAGTGTCAAGTTTGAAAAACATTGAGTTTGATCAATAATTTTTAAAATAAGCCTGGAAATCCAGAAAATTGCAAATTATAATTGTTTTTCCTTAGTTTTTCACTAGGTTTTATAGTGAAAATGTTTAAAAATGTTATTTAATGCTATGTAACTGTAACAATTTATTTTTTATATGTTTTGTATTGGAAATTTTTCAAACTTAATAGGCAATTGTACTAGTTTATTCAGAAGAATATATTAAATTTCTCCTGAAAATTCTCCATTTCTTTAATTAACAGCTTCCTCTTTGCTTTCATTTTTATTTTACTTTTGCTTCCGTTTTTGTCCTTTAAATCTGCAGTCTTACAGCCCACACACATTTTTCTGAGATAAGCTCTCTTAAGCTAAGTGAAGATGCATACAGTAAATATACATATGATTGCTTTTGTTAATTGGTCCCTGTCCCTTATAAGGTCAGCCACATTCCTGAATCAGCCATTAACAATACAGAGATTGTGGGTGAAACTTTAATTTCTTCCTTGCAACATCACAATATCACAAAAATATCAAGAGCTCTCCATCTCTCAGCTTCCTGGCTTTCTCAAACTTACTCTTCTTCTTCCAGGCTGTTGATGTAGACCACAAAATTGCTAGGAATGTAGCCCTGCTTTCCAGTAGTAAGGGATTTTGCTAACCACCATTCCCCATCACTGTGAACAAAATACAAACGTAAAAGAAATGAATAAATGAACAAATAAACAAAGTAGATTGAATAAAGAATTAAACTTTGTTTAATCCATTACATATAGGAAAGAGGCCTTATGACGCCTTATTATAGGACAGAGGCCTGCGAGTGGCTATTATGGCATTGTGGCTGACTAGCACTGGGAAGAATGAACAGATACCTGAAATCACTTTTCGAACATTTCCCTAGTGCAGGGGTAGGCAACCCAAAACACTCAAAGAGCCACTTGGACCCGTTTCCCACCAAAAACAAAACACAGGGAGCCGCAAAACCATTTTGATATCTAAAATGAAGATAACACTGCATATATCCTTTTTTACCTTTATTATAGGTGTGTGTGTGTGTGTGTATGTGTGTGTGTGTGTGTGTATGTGTATACACACACACACACACATACACACACACATTAAAAATAAAAGTAAAAATATGACTCTTGGGAATATCCATACTATTAAAACAATGATCACCAAGAGAATGCTTTAAGAGAATAAAATTACATACACACAAAGGTAAAAAAAGGATATATGCAGTGTTATCTTCATTTTAGATGTCAAAAGGGTCTCTCTCTCTCTCTCCCTCCCTCTCTCTGCCCTTGGTCTGCCACTCCTCTTCCCCACTCTCTCTCTCTCCCTCTCTCTTTCTCTCTCTCTCTTTCTCCCCCCCCCTCCTATCTGCTGCTCACCTGGCAAGCTTCAAGCTGTTCTCCAACAAGCTGGGGGTAGGCAACCTCGTCTCTTTTATGACTCATGGACTTCAACTCCCAGAATTCCTGAGTCAGCCTAGCTGGGCTAGCTAGCTCTCTCCTGCCCTTCCTGCTTCCTGCTGCAGAGACGCAGCAAAGGGAGGAGCTCCGCCCAGAAAGCTTTTCAGCTCCTCGGAGAATACTGTGAGTGCACTCTCTTTTACACACACAGACACACAGACACAGACACACAGACACAGACACACACACACACACACAGAGAGAGAGAGAGAGAGAGAGAGAGAGAGAGAGAGAAGAGAGAGAGAGAGAGAGAGAGAGAGAGAGAGAAGCAGGGAAGTGCAATTGCCTCTCTCTGTCTCTGTCTCTCTCTGCAAAGGCAGAGGAGGCTGGGAGCCACAGGGGAAGGCTCAAAGAGCCGCATGCGGCTCCGGAGCCGCAGGTTGACGACCTGTGCCCTAGTGGCAATAGCAATAGCACTTAGACTTTTATACTGCTTTGTAGTGCTTTACAGCCATCTCTAAACAGTTTACAGAGTCAGCATATTGCCCCCAACAATCTGGGCCCCCATTTTACTGAAGGATGGAAGGCTGAGTCAACCTTGAGCTGGTGAGAATCGAACTGCCGGCAGTCAGTAGAATTAGCCTGCAATACTGCATTCTATTCACTGTGCCACCATGGCTCTTGCCTCAAAAAATTAGTAAAAGACTCATAAATGTTCCTCTCCAAGGAAGGTTTTAGTTAAAGGCAAAAGATTTATGCAATCTGAAGAGAAACCAGAGTATGTCCCAGGTCAGATGCAGATGAACAAAACAAGCATAATTCAGGACTTTTCTTTCTGTTCTGTTCTGTTCTGTATTTGAGAAGTATTTTTCTTCACTGATGGCAAAAGGAATATTGGGGCACGATGGAATCAGTCGAAAGCCAGTAAGTTCACCTACCTGCAGAAGACTTCAAACTTCTCTCCTATGGTCAAAGGCAGATCACGATCACTCATAGAGACAAAATCATATTGTGCAATTACACATTGCTTGCCTATAGCGTGAGAAAAACAGAAATATTGGCTGGATCTAGAGTGTAATATAAGTAGAACAAGGCTTTTGGCTCAAAACTTCAGTTAAATCAGGAGAGTTTTCAGATCTTATTCCTTATTAGACAAAGCCAGAATGGGGCCTGAATGACCAAGGCTTGATAGTCTTTTAATAATAGTTTTCACTTGGCTATAACATTCCTGAAACCAGTCCTTCTATAGCCAGTTCCAAGGAAATACAGTAGTAATTCTTTTTGCTGGGACCAGAAACTAGTAAGATACTACCAGTCAGCAATCTTGCAAAGAAGAAGTCACATTCTGTAAAAAAAAGGGCACTGAATAAACACCATAATCCCATACTCTTGGACTGCAGAGCTATCTGCATTCTCCCCGATTCTCTCCTTCCCCCCCTTTTTTGTCTATTTCAGTGTGACACCAGAGAGCACAGAGCATGTATATGTATGTCTATGGAAATTCTCAGTCATCCAGGACACAGTCATCCCAAAGGTGCTTTTTTTCTCTCTCTCAAAAGGCAACTGGACTTCCTTGTTTTTTTTTCTTATGAAAATGTTTCACTTCTCATCCAAGAACATCAGAACTGAAGAAGCTTCTTGAACGAGAAGTGAAATATTTTCAATGGGAAAAAATCAAGAAAGTCCTGTTATCTTTTAAAGCACCTTTGCTGTAGATTTTGCATCACACTGTAAATTATCACAGGAAAGGGGATTAGGAAATATAACATTGAGAAACAATTAAGATGTAAGAGAGATTCCAATCATATGGAGCAGCTACAAAAAAGGCCTGAAGGATTCTAGGCAAATGATCATTAGCCTTGAGATATAGCACAGCAGGCTATAAAAAGTACAACAGAATCAGTCTAATGCTTGCTAAAATGGCTCCTCCGCATGTTTTTGCCTTCCTCAACCAGATGGTCTCTATGTTGGGGATTATTAAGATCATCTCATTTATGTTCTGCTTTCTATTGTCGTATTTTTTTGTCTTATATTTATTAAGAATTCTACATAAAGCAAGAGACAAATCTAAAGAAGAAAGAAAGGAAGAAAGGAAAAAAGGAAAGAAGAAAGAAAGAAAGAAAGAAACCCAAAGTTATGAAATATGATTTTTATCGTCTCTTCAACCAATAATTGCAGTCTTCTAATCCATTCTCCTCTTGAATGAGTGAGTTACATTCTCGCCCAACATGAGATGAGATGGTGATAGCCACATCATCATTTAGTTGTTATTCTTCAATAAAGACTTGACTTCCCTCCAATGCCTCCTCCCCAATAAAAGAGAAAAAATGATTTTATAATTTGAGCTTGCTAGTTAATTAATGGATGGGGAACAGAATATTTTTCTAAATATAGGCACTCATGAGACAGATACTTGTAAATCTCACTTGCCTGACCTTTTCAAATAAAAACACTTTCAAGCTTCTCCTTTTCAATGCAAGGTCACATGTCTCTGGAACAATATATAGTTCTGTGAGAACATAGCTGGGTATTTCTTCTTTTGGATTTAGGAACAGAATCAGAATCATTTCGCAAGCCAAAATATTGAATAGGGGAAGGAGGCAATTTTGATTTTACGCTCACCAGCATTTTGCAAACAAAAGTAAAAGTACAGATATTTTTCCCTAGGAGAAGCTAATGTCTACACTCTTTCTCTCCTTAATCCATAGTACATGTTGCTAATGGTGTTTTTCACTTGTTGTCTGTTGGTTGTATATTCAGTTTGTCTAGTAATCTCTTTATTATACTTTTCCATCTTTCAGAAGTTTATTTCATATGAAGCCAAAGTCTGGAATTATTTTCATATTAGAGCAAATAGCCACAACTCAAATGCATTGCTCTTAACTTTGTTCTTAACTCTGATTTATCTTTATATATATATTTATTTTTATTCCACTTTTTATGTTTTATTGTAAACCACCCAGAGTCATTTAAGTAAGATGAGCAATGTAGAAGTGTATAGATATATTAATAAGTAAAATTGTTCTTATTTCTCTCTTTTATTTAAATGTCATTTCGTGATATTTTATTTGTGAAATTGTTGTTGACATCGTTAAGCATCATCTGGTAAAGAATCTACGATAAATATTCAGAAATAAAGACACAAATCCTTTTTACCTTTACCAAGCTGGTTAGCAAAAGTGATGGGTAAATTCTTGCCCTTTGGAAGAAATAAAAAGAGAAGCCAAGCATTACTTAATTGCATTGAAATTGGATGCGAAGGATACATTTGTATATAATTCTGTTACCAAATGTTGTCGGGGAGCAAAATTCAGCCTGCTGAGAATTTACTCATTCCAGTTAATAGCAGAAGCCATCTGTTTATCTGGAGAGAGCAAATTGGGACCCTTTGAAGTTGACTGAATTACAGTTTCCAAGATCCCTCATTTCTGACCAGGCTATGAGAAGCTGATGGAAGTTGATATTTAATATCAAGTGGAAGATTAGAGTTTCATCCCTCTTGAAATATTACATTATGCTGAAATTTAGCCAGAATCAGCAAGCAACCATATTGAACAAAAATTTTCGCATTACTTACCCGAGGATGGGAAGATACAGGTAGGCCTCGACTTACAACCAAAACTGAGCCCCAAATTTCCAAGCAAGACATTTGTTAAGTGAACTTTGCCCATTTTATGATCTTTCTTGCCACCCTTGTTAAGTGAATCACTGCAGTTGTTGAATTAATAACATGGTTGTCAAGTGGCTTCCTCATTGATTTTGTTTATCAGAAGGTGGCAAAAGGTGATCACATGACCCCAGGATATTGCAATCGTCATAAATATAAGTTAGTTGCCAAGGATCTGAATTTTGATCACATGACCATGGGCATGCTGCAATGGTTGTAAGTGTGAAAAACGGTCATAAGTCACTTTTTTCAGTGTCATTGTAACTTAGAACAGTCATTAAATGAACTATTGTAAGTTGAGGACTACCAGTAGTATTAAAATATATTAATTTAATTCATTGGCCTTAGCTACAGGGCCAATGGTGAGGGAAGATAGGTATATCTGAACACCTGGATATTTTCTCTCTGTGTTTCAGATCTTCCTGGCTACAATTTGCTTTAATTCCAGGGTTGTTCCGAAATAACAGACATTTTAATCAAAAGTCTGGACTCATATTTTTACCATCATAGTGTGACACTGATATCCTGATTTTTGCATACTGTGTTGAAATTGTGAGTCCAGTTACTGTATTTTGAATGCTGACTGAAGCCGAAGGAACAGTAATAAAAAAATTGATCTGATTAAAAATTTGGCTGCTGTTGATTACCATTTGACAGAGGCTAATTTCTTTCCTGCCTCGTGGGCTTCCTGGAAGCACCTGTTTGATTATTATGACCAAGCTGCTGAATTAGATGGCACTTTGATCAAGTCCAGTAGGGACTATGCCTGAAATGAATGCTAAATGATAGCTGAATAATTGAGAAGTATAATGAGAAATCTTTCTAGAGGAAAAGAAATGAAATTCATAGCTGATGGATGGAGATTAAGGTTGGTAGCCAGATGGGAAATTCTTTTTGGAAACTGGACTCAGTCTCTCAAACAATGCATCTGATTGCTAGAATACCTTGTCTGGGTGCAGAACTTTAGTTCTTAAATTATACTTTCTTGAAGATTAAATCTTACCGGTGGTGCAGGGGGTGGAACTTTCCTTTTCAGGGCTCTCTGATGTTTATATAGAGAATTATTCCTTTCTTTCCTGCTTCTCAGGTTTCTGCTTTCACATATTCCCATCCTGTCTCTGAAATAAATGCAAGTAAGACTGGCTTTAAATATTAGCAATGTGATTTTATGTCAACTCAGATGGGATCATTTCACGGATGCCTTTGGTTATACTTATGGTCTGAGTATTCTTCAGGATTGGAATGCCCCTCAATATTTTAAACATGGATTAGATGACAAGATACCATTAATTTAGTAATACTATTTCAGTCCTACATAAAAGCGGCCCCAAAGCTGTTAAATAACCCTGTTGGGTTTGCAGCTCTTTAGTTAAGTTTGAGGAATGACTGAAAATGTTCAGGTATCAATTTTCGTGTGGCCAGTTTAGTTAAAGGTTATAAGCCTAGATGAGCTGTGGTATGATGACAACAACAATATGACAACAACCGTTCATAATCTGCTTTTTAATATAAATATTGTCTAATCCATATCACAAATCTGAACAAATAAAAAGGATAATGAATACCACTTGTTTATTTCCAGACAGTTAGAACAATTAATCAGTGGAACAACCTGCCTCCAGAAGTTGTGAATGCTCCAACATTGGAGTTTTTAAGAAGAAACTGGACAGCCATTTATCTAAAATGGTATAGGGTTTCTTGCCTGAGCAGGGGGTTGGACTAGATGACCTCCAAGATCCCTTCCAAAATTATTATTATTATTATTATTATTATTATTATTATTATTATTATTATTACTACTACTACTACTACTACTACTACTACTACTACTACTACTACTACTACTACTGATCATTGCACAGTCAGCCAGATCTTCAGACTGGATTTGGCATTTTTGTCTATCTATCGAGTCCTTACCAGGGACCTGGGATAGGCAGATGTGGATGTTTGATGGTTTTACAGATATCATTGCAGGATGGAAGCAGTTTCTAGCCTTTTGTAATAGACTAATGGCGAATTTGTCAATGCCAGTAGTGTTCAAATGGTGCTCCAGTTGTTTTGGGATTGCACCCAAGGCACCTATTATTATTGGTACTACCCTTGCTTGCCTTTGCCACATTTGTTCTATTTCTATTTGTAGATCTTTGTATTTTGTTATCTTCTCCAGTTCTTTCTCATCTGTTCTGCTGTCTCCAGGCACTGCCACATCCACTATCCAGACTTTTTTTGTCTTTCTTATTGACAGTTAAGTCTGGGGTGTTATGTGGCAGATGCTTGTCTGTTTGAATTCTAAGTCCCAGAGCAATTTAACTTTATCATTTTCTATGACTTTCTCTATTTTATGATCCCACCAGTTCTTGCTTGCAGGCCAATGATATTTCTTGCACATCTTCCAATGCATCATTGGAAGAAATTAGTCCATCGGTCTCTTTCTTCAATTTTCCTGCTCTTAGCCATTGCCAGGTCTTGTTATTATCTGCTTTCCCAGCTATTTTTTTTATGTACTAGGCATGTAGTGCTTTGCTTCCCATGCCTCCATTCTGTTCTTCATTTGGTCGTTCTTGTAGGCGAGTTTGTTGTTGTTATTATTGTTGTTGTTGTTATTATTATTATTATGGCACTCCAATTTGTCAGCTGGAGAGCTGGGAGCCTGGGTTTGAGACCCAGAGTTCCAAGCAAAGGGGTGAGCTCTTGTTGCTTGCCTCAGCTCCTGCCCACCCAGCAGTTCAAAAGCATGAAAATGCAAGGAGATTAATAGGTATCATTTAGATGGGGTGGTAACAGCATTGGAAATTGTCTTCGGACAACACTTGCTCCCTCAGCCAAAAAACAGAGATGAGCACCATGCCCTAGGTCAGACACCTGACAAGGAAACATTTTCCTTCTTTTAAAACTTGTTTTAGTTACTGAACACATGTTCATTTGTTTGTATTCAAATGTGTTCTTTTTCAGCTGAAAAAAAAAGATTCTAAAATGTCAGAATTTTAGATTTAAACAAAGTGAATGTTCCGATCTTGCTCTTTTCCTCCCCTTTTGCTATGAAATGTTCTAAGCTACTAATTGTCAAATGTAGAGAAATGGGACCGAAGCCATTACATATTATCTACTAACTTCCAGATACCATTCATGTCCATTATACAAATTTTAAATGATTAATTCAATTTAATAACATAATATTAATTTAATGTTTTATATAAATAAAACTATTTAGTAAATTAAAACAATTTAATACATTTATATTATGTTTAATAACTAAGCATGGATCTGAAATAAAGAAATACCAATTCATTTACAACATAACTCTTCTTCTACTCTGTGCTTTTTTATGATATGTTGATAGCAAGTACAAATATTGAAAGCTCCATTGTGTGCTACTCAAATATTGTGAAATATCAGTTGACATACTGTATACTGCAATTAGATGCTCAAGTCAAGTATTAAGAATAAAAAGCCAATATTATTGAATGTCCAACTGAGAGTAGTCAATATTCATTTGCTTAGTGGTAAATTATTGTGCAATCAATACAACCTATGAACAGTCTGAAGATCTATGATTTATTGCTGATTGCTGATCAGGTGAGTTTGTTCTCGGCCATATCCTTTTAAAAGAGTACAGAGAAGAGCAACAAAGATGATTAGGGGACTGGAGGCTAAAGCATATAAGGAACGGTTGCTGGAATTGGGTATGTCTAGTTTAACGAAGAGAAGGACGAGGGGGGACATGATAGCAGTGTTCCAATATCTCAGGGGCTGCCACAAAGAAGAGGAGTCAAGCTATTCTCCAAAGCACCTGAAGGCAGGACAAGAAGCAACGGATGGAAACTAATCAAGGAGAGAAGCAACCTAGAACTAAGGAGAAACTTCCTGACAGTGAGAACAATTAACCAGTGGAACAACCTGCCTCAGAAGCGGTGAATGCTCCAACACTGGAAGTTTTTAAGAAGAGACTGGACAGCCATTTGTCCGAAATGGTGTAGGGTTTCCTGCCTGAGCAGGGGTTGGACTAGATGACCTCCAAGGTCCCTTTCCAACTATTATTATTATTATTCTTATTATTATTATTATTATTATTATTATTTTGGATCATTGCCAGTCAGCCAGATGTTCAGACGGATTTGGCATTTTCTCTACCTATCGAGTCCTTACCAGGACCTGGGATAGGCAGATGTGGATGTTTGATGTATTACAGGTATCGTCGCAGGATGGAAGCAGTTCCTAGTAAGCCGCCTTTTGCAATTGACTAATAGCGAATTTGTCAATGCCAATGGTGTTCAAGTGGTGCTCCAGTTGTTTTGGGATTGCACCCAAGGAGCCTATGACTATTGGTACTACCCTTGCTTGCTTTTGCCACAGTCTTTCTATTTCTATTTGTAGGTCTTTGTATTTTGTTATCTTCTCCAGTTCTTTCTCGTCTATTCTGCTATCTACCAGGCACTGCCACGTCCACTATCCAGACTTTTTTGTCTTTCTTATCGACAATTGTTAAGTCTGGGGTGTTATGTTGCAGGTGCTTGTCTGTTTGAATTCTGAAGTCCCAGAGCAGTTTAATTTTATCATTTTCTATGACTTTCTCTATTTTATGATCCCACCAGTTTTTGCTTACAGGCAAATGATATTTTTTGCAGATCTTCCAATGCACCATTGTTGCTACTTTGTCATGCTGCTGCTTGTAGTCAGTCTGTGCAATCTTCTTGCAACAGCTTACCAAGTGGTCCACTGTTTCTTCAGCTTCTTTGCATAGGCGGCACTTACTGTCTGTTGCTGTCTTCTCAATTTTGACTTTGTATGCATTTGTCCTTAAGGCTTGGTCTTGTGTAGCCAGAATTAGTCCCTCGGTCTCTTTCTTCAATTTTCCTGCTCTTAGCCATTGCCAGGTTTTGTTATTATCTGCTTTCCCAGCTATTTTTTTCATGTATTGGCCATGTAGTGCTTTGTCTTCCCATGCCTCTATTCTGTTCTTCATTTGGTTTTTCTTGTAGGCCAGTTTGGTCTCTCCAGTAGTTAGTAAGCCTTCCTGATATACTAATTTCAGTGCATCTTCATCATTGTTCTTCAGATATTCTTCCAAAGCCATTTTTTCTTCTTCAACCATCTGATGTACTTCAGATGGTTGAAGTACATTCCACGCCCACCTATTTGCCTTGGTAGATAAAGTCTGTCAATGTCATGTGGATGAAGGCCATGATTCATCGTCATTATTTTTATGGTCTTCCTATCCATCATCATCATCATCATCATCATCATCATCATCATCATCATTATTATTATTATTATTATTATTAAACAGAGGAACACAACTCCATGTAGATTTTATCCGTAATAAAAAATATGTTGGGATAAGAATGAAAGTACTACTTTAAATTATAATTGTCAAAGGATAAGCTCTCTCTATGAGAATGAGCTGAACGCAAAACCAGTCATATCAGAATGGTTACTAGGGCATATTCATATCATTGTTATGGTATGTGAAGAAGAACTCTAAGAAAAGCTTGGAGGCAAAAAATTAACACAAAACCAGTAACACAAAACAACCAGACAAAACCAGTAACATTCTCTTAAGGTAAGTTAGAGATTCAGGATTCTGAGCTTAGCTGTACCAAACGAATAGAAAAAGAAATAATTTTAAAGAAAAAAAAGCTAACAAAAGGGTAAAATTGATGGAGGGGACAATTTACACTATATATGTAAATGTTCTCGCGTGAGATTCATTTCTTATATATGAAATATTAACAGATCTTAAGATTATTTTTTTATTTTCATCACTTGATCTTTATCATGGATGTATAAACATTGAAATGTTTTCTGTTTTGAGATAAATGGCTTTATCATTCTTCCATGCTAGTTTAGATGGTCATGCTGTAATTACAAACTTCAATTTCTTTCACATCTTTATCATTTTATAAATAATTGAAAATTAAAATATTAGGAACATTTTATAATCTTTTAATGTTTTGATAAAGCAAAACAAGAAATGACCAAAAAGATCAATATTTTTTCACATTATTTTGTTTCTTTCTTGCAAAACTATATCCTTTATGATATCTCTATGGTCTCATTTTAATACCAAAATTTT